CTTTTTAGTGCTGGTAATGTATTATTGCTTGACACCGTTGGAAAGATTCTAGCGCTTCAAAGGCTAGTCAATGATTTGGTTCCAGAAAATGGTCGTTATGGAGGCAATGAGGTTTACAATTCTTTTGATACGACTCTATTCACTGACGATGAATGCTACGAAGCTTCAACTTATTCTCAGACACAAATCCGGGAGTGGCTAAGTGTTCACAAGGAAAAACTTTTGAAGGACACACTGGAGAAGAAAAAGAAAAAGGTTTTTTCTATCCATAAGCTACTTTTTATTAGTGCCAGTCACTTATCCAGCGACCTCATTTTGAAATGCTTGGTCGAAAATGGTGTAGATCCATCAAGAATTTGTACAGATCTTGAAGAAGACGAAGATCTCGCTAACAAGACGGTTGACGCATTGACTGATGCTGAGGTAAGATATGTGGATCTCATTGAGAAGGCACGTGAAGGGAACTCTAAAGGTTGGATCATTTCAAAAAGAAATGCCTTGTATAACCCAGAAGATGAACAGTCTTTGGAATATATTTTTGATGAATTCCACCCCTTCGAGCCTTTCAAAGAGAATAAAATCAATCTTAAATTCGAGTCTTTTGATGGTTACAACAAAACGCTTGACAAATTCTTTTCCACCATCGAGTCGACAAAGTACACATTGAAAGGTGGAAACAACAAAAGCAAAATGCCCTGAAGAGATTTGGAACATGCAAGATCAGAACGTGAGAAGCAAAATTGAACTGCCTAATCACTTCAGCAAGAAATTCAACGAAAGGAAAGGGAAACACGATTACGTACCACGCTTCATGTGGGTTGAAGAATGTAAGGGAGTATGTTCAAGAATATGATTAAAAAACACAATGGATTGGGACTGATATTGAAAACATAATTAAGTTTAGGATGCTTCTATGAGGGAAAAGGCCGGTTGCACAGTTCATAAAGTTACCACTTAATTTGTTAGAAGGTACGATCAAATTGTCATTGCCAGATGTTGATCAAATGCTTCAAGATGATGACCCAAACTCAACTTCTGATCTGGGTTACTCAGATGCAGAAAGTAACTCTACTTCAGAGTCCGAATCTGAATCAGACACTTCGGACTCCGAATCTGAAACTGACTCAGAGACTGATTCGGATTCCGAAACAGAGGAAATAAAGAGAAAGAAATACAAAAAGAAAACTGGCGTGCAGAAGAGGACAAATGCTATGCCAACTCTCACAGTTGATATTGATCTCGCATTGTCGGCATTTGCTAATGCGAGTGTTTACTTCGAGTCAAAGAAAGTTGCGGTAACGAAGCAAACACGCGTGGAAAAGAACACCAAGATTGCTCTTAAAAATGCTGAAAGAAAAATTCAGAGTGATTTGAACAAGAATCTCAAAAATGAAACAGAATCTCTTCGTGCTTTTCGTCACAAATTTTGGTTTGAGAAATATTTCTGGTTTACTACCAGCGATGGTTACTTATGCCTTGCAGGAAGAGATGACTTGCAAACAGACATGATTTACTACAGACATTTTAGTGATGGTGATTATTTCGTTTCGTCAGATCTCGATGGGGCAGCGAAGGTATTCATATTGAACCCTTACAAGGCGCAAAACGTGTCACCATCTGCATTATTTCAAGCTGGAATATTCGCATTGCTGACTTCAACTGCGTGGAGTGCTAAAATTAGCTCTTCTGCGTGGTGGATGAGTGGCGCTGATGTTACAAAGCGCGAGTTCGATGGATCGCTCTTGGGCCCAGGAATTCTCAAATACAAAGCGAAGAAAAACTATATGCCACCAGCTCAAATGGTTATGGGATTTGGATTCTACTGGTTATGCGACGAGGAGACAACCCAAAAGTACAAGATTGCCAGAGAAAAGAGACAAGAGGAGCATGGCTTGAAAGTTTCATTTAGCAATAAGAAGCTGGATCTCGACGACATGAGTATCAAATCTTCGATGAACTCTACGAAAGAAGAGGCATCTTTGGAAGAAACACAGAAGGAACCGGAAAACAGTGATGAACCATCAAAGAAGGATGCCTACTCTCCAATTGAAGATTCGGAAGCATCTCATCCAGAAGAAAAGGAAACAGAAACGATGGTGGAGTCGGTAGAGAAGCAATTGGCTAATCTCAGAGCGAAGAGCTCTTCACCTTCGCCTTCTCTTTCTAACAAGCAGAAGAATGTGCGTGGAAAGAAGGGTAAGTTGAAGAAGATCAATGCAAAGTATGCTGACCAAGATGAGGAGGAGAGAAGACTCAGAATGGAAATGTTGGGTACGCTAAAGCAGATGGAAGAATTAGAAAGAAAAAGACGGGAGGCTGAGAAAGCGAAATCTGATCAACAGCAGAATGAAAAACACGGAAACAAAGCTGCATCCAAACAACAAAAGGCCGAGGAACGCGAGTTACAACGTTACTTGAAAGGAGAGATGGATGAAGATAACGCAATTGGCACAAACTACTTAGAATTGTTAGATTCTCTCGTGGCAAAGCCAGCACGAGACGACATTGTCGCTGATTTGGTTCCTGTTTTCGCTCCATGGGCATCTATGGCCAAGTTCAAATACAAGGTTAAAATACAACCTGGTTTGGGGAAAAAAGGTAAGAGTTTGAGTGATGCTTTGGCATACTTTTCACATCGTAAAGTGGATGCGTCTCGCACAGATACAGATGTGGACTGGCCGAACGAACATGAAATTCTTTCGTCAACTAAGTCCAACGACATAATCGGAGCATTGGCAGTGAATAAAATGAAGCTCGTATTACCCGGTGGAAACCAGAGCGATGCGAAAGGTAAAAAAGCTAAACGTGGTGGAAAGAATTAAGCTTTCAGACATCTTACACAGCTTGTGTAACCTAGGGTCTCTCTAAGACCGTTTAATGCATAACAGCAAATCTCGTATCGAAAAGTGACTCATGTAACTTTCCAACGCAAATCGTATATACAACCGTAAAAATAACCGAAATTTTGCACGTGTTTCCGTCCCTGGAAGTTGATCGGAATATTGGAAATGGATACTTCATATTGACGGTGTGTCAACGCGCAGGATTCTGTCAAAAAAGGTCACAATTGACATACGCAGATAAGACAAATTTTCTTTATACATATACACTTGTAAATTTATTCAAGAGATAACACCAATAGCTATGAAAGGACAGAATATAAGGCTCCAAAAAATGCATTATTTTGAGTCACCTTATGCATGAGCATATTAATGGCCATAATTTTTTAACGAAATAACGTTTGAAGTATAGACGGCACATTGCTTGTGCGACACATACGAGATGCCTATTTTGGAAGGTCCTAATAGAGAAAGATGGTACGAATGATAAGCACGTGTGCAATTTACTAGAGCGGCTTTAGTTTGACCTTACTCTTCGGAATAATTCCTCACCACAATTAGAAACTCAATGATATAAATACCCGAAATATTTCGCTCTTTGATTTGGTTCCCCACACTAGTTTTTCCAAACCACAATGGTCGCCATCTCTAAACTTGTCAACAGCGGTTTGCTTCTTGCTGGTCAATCTGTCTTCAGCGATGTTGCTTCTCCACAACAAGCTTCGACACAGCAGTACAACATCTTATCCTTTTTGGGTGGTGCAGCTCCATACATTCAACACCCTGGTTTTGGTATCTCTCCAGATGTTCCTCCTCAGTGTACATTGGAGCAAGTTCACTTGTTGTCTAGACACGGAGAAAGATACCCTTCTACCAACTCGGGTAAGACTTTGGAGAAGATCATGAAAAAGTTCGAGAATTACAACGGTACATTCACTGGTGAGTTGGCCTTCTTGAATGACTACACTTTCTTCGTTCCTGACAACGCTCTCTTGGAGAAGGAAACCACCCCTTTCAACTCCCACAGCCCATATGCGGGAACTTCTAATGCCATGAGACATGGTATGTTCTTCAGAAACAAGTACCAATCCCTTTTCAATGCAACTGAGGAGACCCTTAATGTGTTCACTTCCAACTCCGGTAGAGTGCACCTCACCTCTCAATACTTTGCTAGAGGCTTCATGGGAGAGCAATACTCAGATGATGCTGTCAAATACTACGTCATCACCGAAGATGCTGAGATGGGTGCTAACTCATTGACCCCAAGATCTGGTTGTCAGGCTTACGATGAAGATGCTAACGACGACCTTGTTTCGAAGTTCGACACATCTTTCTTGGAAGATGCTCAAAAGAGAATCCTCAAGGGTAACGACGGCCTCAACTTGACCACCAGTGATGTCAATCAACTTTTCTCTTGGTGCGCTTATGAGATCAATGTCAGAGGTTCTTCGCCTTTCTGCGACTTGTTCACCAACGAAGAGTTCATCAAGTACTCATACTCCACCGATCTTTCAAATTACTACTCGCACGGTAAAGGCCACAACCTTACTCATGTTATTGGTGCCCCATACTTAAACGCTACCTTGCAATTCTTGAAGGAAGAGAACCCAGACTTCAAGGTCCTTTTGGCTTTCACCCATGACACTGACGTGGAAATCTTCCACTCTGCTCTTGGTTTGCTTGAGCCTAAGGATGACTTGCCAACCGACCACATTCCTTTCCCTAACCCATACGTTCACTCTCAAATTGTGCCACAAGGAGCCCGTTTGTACACTGAAAAGTACACTTGCGACGGTGAAAGCTACGTCAGATACCTTGTTAACGATGCTGTTTACCCTATTCAATCTTGTCAATCTGGCCCAGGTTTCTCCTGTAAACTTTCTGACTTTGAGTCCTATATCAACTCGAGATTGGAAGGTGTGGACTACGCTAGCCAATGTAATGCTACCAACGTTCCTAGCGAAGTTACTTTCTTGTGGGACTACAAAACCGCAAACTACACTGCTACCGACATCAACGCTTAGGCTTTCACTATGGCCTATCCCTTTCAATGGCGATTACAATCAAATTTACTTTCTTCTCGTTAAATTCTTTTCTGTATACCAAAAATGTACGTTTCTTACTTTAGCTTCGTGAGACCATAAAAATTAGAGAAGGATTTGCATCATTGTTCAAGATATCAAGCAAGCCCGAGTTTTACACACGAGATGTCCACAACCCATTTTTTTTTGTACAGCATTTGCATTTGTACTAAGATCTTTCACGGACATACGAATTATATATATTCAGAGAAGCCCGCTTGCATAATTCTTCCCCAATTCATTGTCTTTTCCATCACATTCATTACACTCCTCTGTTTGACTACTAATCTACATCGCAGAATGAACGTATTTGAATTAAATCTGAAGCACGCCCTACGACTGTCTGTACTGTTGAGAGGAAAACGGGTCCAGCCCACCCATTGAGTACCAAGTTTCCACCCTATGCCATTTCTCGGATTAGCGCTATTGGAAGAAGATCTAGTCCCCACGCAAGGCTCTGATCACTGCTGGTCGCCTCATCATGTACTTGGTCCACTTATAAACTTCGGGAAACTCCACCTTCAAGTTGATCCCGATGCGGTCCACCACATTGTTCCAGGGAACGAAAGATAAATCTGCTACTGTGGCTCTATCTCCAACAAGCCATACTGGATAGTCAAAGTATCTGGAAGAGCTAAGAGGCGTGGTTCCTGCGGAATATGCTGCGGCATTGTCTCTGTCGAAATCCATAATCAATGCTTCTCTTCTTTCAGCCAAGGCCATTTCGATTACACCGTAAACACGTCTAACTTCATCAGTGTATCTTTCCACAGCCGAAGGGACAGGGCAAGAGTGAAAGTACCGGAAATGCAATGCTTGGCCAATCATTGGGGCATGGCCTGAAGTCTGGAAAAATAACCAGGAAGAAATTTGAGACTGCTCCACAATATTGTCAGACCAAAGCGCACATTCGCCGTGTTCTTTTAAATGCTTTGAGACCAAATATAAAATGATGGCGCCAGACTCCCATATGGAGGTGTTGTCGTTGGTATGGTCAATCAAGGCTGGAACACGTGCGTTTGGATTTATAGAGACGAACTCTGGTGCCCTTTGCTCGCCCGAATTGAAGTCTAAGAAGATGGTGTTGAAAGGTAAATTGAGTTCCAGTAATATTATAGCCACTTTGAATCCGTTAGGAGCTGACCGGTGCGAAAAGAGGGTGTAGCCTTCAGTGGGCTGATTGGCAAAGAAACGACTGATCCTGGTCTGCGTAGCCACATTATCTGCCGCTTCATTGTGGAGTTGCTGTTGTAACAAGTTTAAGTTAACTGCATTCTGCTGCTGGTCACTGAGCGAGACAGATTTTAAACCTGCGCTTAAATTGGAAATGGCACCTCCGCCTCCGTTTCCTGTTTGCTGGTTTCCACTACCGGAGTCTGTGTCGCCTGCGTTCTGCATTCCATTCATCGATTAAATACAAGTGGTGAACAAAAAGTGAGGAGCGAAACGTTCGAAGAATGGACTGAGGCCCGGGTGATGCAGGAATGTGACTAAAGCTCGATTATAAAATATTAGGAATCACGGCTTTAAGCGGGCCGCCGGAACTGATTGCAGAATGTAAACGTTATTCGGTTGAAAGAAACGTGAGAGAAAAATTACTTGCGTCACTTCACAATTGTTCTTAGTCAACACCTGTACCTCCGCACCCAAAAGTTTTCTTCGCGGCGCCCGAATACGGGCTATGGGCATAGCAAACCCCTCACAATTAAAAGATGTCAGTGCGCACTAATTGCACACTTACATGATGAAAGAAAAAAAGAAAATGATAGACACAATAGTGCCGAAATTGTGTCGGTGTAAGCGCACACTCATCAATGCACAATAGATTATAGATAAGAATTTACACAACACAGTCTAAATAAAAAGATCATTCATTGCATTATGACTATCTCCAGCACATGAAGCATCTTCCTTATAGAGGGCCCGAAAACGGCAGTTAATACCGTCCCTTACTGTGTTGTCCCACCAATTACAGTGAATAAGATATGAAATTCAAGTGTGTGGCTCGCATGACAATGTGGAAAAGACACTACTATGCACGCGCTATCTAAAGCCTCTCAAGTGAAGTTTTGAAAGCGGATTGACTTTTTCTTTTGCACAAATGGCATCGCACGTGGCTGTGCTTGTCTTAGATACTCCCATTGATGGAGTAGCTGAAGACTTTGGTGATTTTGGTGATAATGTCCGTGATCTTTTGAAAGATAGTGTCATTCCCGTGGTCAAGTATCAAATTGCAATCCCTTTGGAAAATGGCGCAGCGAGAGATAGTGATGTTGCAATGATGGAAAAGAATTTCGCTCAAGTGGAATCACATCTTCAGACTGGCGTCATCAAAGCTATCGTTCTTACAGGTTCGAGATCTGATTCATTTGAGGTTGGCAACATTTGGCTTGATCGTCTCAATGAATTTATCCAGTCGCATCTTTTCACCCGCCCTAACTTCCCGGTCGTAGGTTTGTGTTTTGGCCACCAGGTTTTGGCAAAAAACTTGGGATGCAAAGTGAATCGAAGCCCTCCAGAAACTGGTTGGGAAATCGGCACGACCACCATTGCCTTGAACAAAAGTATTATGTCCATTGAGAAGTCTCCCTTCAAGAAGCCTCTTACTTTGGAAGATGGAAAAGTCTTGGAACATATCAACTTGGTAGAATTTCATCGTGACATTGTCTATGGTTTACCTCCAACTTCCACTGCTAGCCACGGCCTCATTGCTGAAACTAGTTTCCAGAACTTTGGATCAACCAATAAATGTTCAATCCAGGGCCTTGTAACCGAATCTGGCCCTATCAAAATCCTTACCTTTCAGGGACACCCTGAGTTTATCACGTCAGAATCCTTGAAGATGTTGGAGATCAAATTTGAACAGAAGCTCATAGATAAGGCGACTTTTGAACGCCTGACGTATAACACGAAGAACTTGATCAACCAAGGCCCTATAATTGCCAAGGTTATTAATAATTTTATAGAGAGTTACCAATAGCTCATTCAGATGCATATTACTTGGCTCCTCGTGCATTTGAGGATCCTGCTGCCCTTCTTTTTTTTTTTTAATTCATGTACGCTGATATCTTACTGTCCAATAATGTGTATTCTTCGCAAATGTACTAATTGTCAAGAACACTCTTTCTAAGTGAAACCACATCGAACCCTTGAAGTTTACCACCAGATCCGTAACCCAACACACTTGGATTTTCAGGTCTGTCGCCGCGTTTACTCAATTTATCGTTGATCATGTTCACTTTTTTAAGTTTCTCCTCCAAGACGTGAATTCGATCATGCGCTGCAGTAAGCTCCGCCGATTGAGAGGAAGTCAACTTAGTGATCATTTCTCTGAGTTCATCCCTTTGAGTGCGTAAGGAAATGATCTGCGCCTGTTCATACTCGTGATTCTCTATCAGTGTCAAATCTCCTTTATCAACAGAAGAACTCGTGTTTTGAACGTTTTCCAACTGCTGTCTCAAATGGGTATTCTCATTGAGAAGTTCATTATACTTTTGTAACAAATCATCATCGTACTTTTTCTTAGTTGAAGTTTCATACTCATCGAGTTTGTCTTGAAGCTGATTGACCATGTCACTTTTTGCGAGGAGTTGCTTGTAGAGCTCATTCTTCTCATAGTCGAGCTTCAATGCGCTTGGGGTTTGACCGTTTTCGGACAAAATGGCGTGTTCTTCACTGATAAACCTTAACCTTCTCTCGTTATTCAATTTGTCTTGAAGGTCAGCGATAACCTTGGATTTTTCCAAAATCTGGTGCTGAAGAACACTCTCATCCCCATCATACGCATTTGGCTTAGACTTTAACCGAGATTCTAATGCCAACTCTCGTTTTATTGAAAGAGCCAATTCGCTGGTTACAAGTTGTAAATCGTTTTGTAAATCGTTATTGCATGTCATGATGGCAAGCTCCTCTTTGGTAAAGGTCAAAGGCTTTTTTGCAGGTTCATGAATGGAGACGCTTGATGCGACTCTCAGTCTGGACATTGCAGAATGCGTCTCGTCATCTAAGTCATCAGAGATGTTTCTCTTTGAAGTAGATCTAGAGAGTCTTTTGATGAATTTTTTGGACTTGCTTGAAAGCAGGGATCCTTTTGAGCGGGACAATTCAGACTTGATCGGTTCCGGTGTTTCAGACCCTGTGTTGGTATTTGGTTGCTGCACGGTGATAAGTCCTCCAGCTGGAAGCAATCCTTGTAACTTCAACTCTGATCCAGATCTCGACAATGTTGATGTGCGTCTCTGAAGAATCAGGTTTACGGTGTCCGTACTTTGCTGCGACAGATTTCTCTTAGGACCTTCGTTAAGGTTAACATCAGTCTCCAATTCATCATCCACAGGGGTTCCCTTCTCGGTTGTATTCGACCGCAATTCCGGTACATGATTTTGTTTTTCTTGGGTAGAGCCTGGGGAAGAAGAAGCGACGCTTGAGTCATATTTTCCATCATCTTCGGCGTATTCAGGCGACGGCAAGCTTTGTGGGTCTGATTTGGGGGCTTCAAATACTTGAGGTGAAGTAACTTTTGCGTCGTTGATGGATGGAAGATAGGACGAAGGTGAGACCAGTGCATTCAAGCTATCAGAAAGCTTTGGTGTTTCTGCAGAGTATACGGAACTCTGACTGTCGGTCTCACTTCTATCAAGCAGTGGCTGTCCATTACTGGAGACATCCGCAGCGACTTCTTGAGAAGTGTTTCTGAATTTGCTGAAAACAGTATTTTCTGCCAAGCGATGCAACTTGATTTGTGCCTCTTTCGTGTTTGGCTTAACTTTCTGAGGAACACTCAGCCGTTCTGGCTGTGTTTTGTTGATATCATTCATTTCCTTTTTAGTTGGAGATTCAAACTCTGGAGTGGTGAAAAAGATATCATCATCGCCTGCAGCGGAAGCACCCAAGGACTTGAGTTTGTTAGCCAGGTCAAGTTGATGTTCATTTGTTTCCGCATCATCCAATTGAAAGAACAGTTTCTTTGAAGTGCGATCGCCAGATGCGTTAACATTGAAGGATCGTTCTTCTTCGTTCTGTTCTGCGTCTTCATTTGCCGAGGCAGCGGTATCAGAACCCTTATTGAAAAGATCCAAACGGCGAACACGCATAGAGTCTGCTTTTTTAATGGTAGACTTTCTAGAGAGCTGCTGTCCTGCAGCATCATCTTCAAACCTGTAGACATGGTCCTCTTCAGAGATCTCATTGTCCCTAGTAGATTGAAAGTTGAAGGAATCTGTTTTAGAACCTGGATCCAAGTGGCTCCTTTCAGGTTCTGCCTCTTCCTCCACTACATTCATGAGTGAGTCTGACGACATTGTGCTATCTGGATTCATCATTCCCCTGGTTTGATCTGACTGAATGTTCCTTGGGCCTGATCCGTATGGAGGATTGACATAACCCTGATTACCATACATAGGGTGTCCAATATACGGTTGCGAGCCTTGGTATTGTGGTCCGTACTGTTGGGAATACATGTTCGGATTATAAGGCCTTTGGTTGAAATTGGGTGAAGAAGCTGATTGAGTGAAAGACTGTGATCTTGGACCTGCTGGAGGAGGGCCGTTAAGCGAATTCAACCTGGCGGAAGGTTGCATGCCTCTCATTTGAGGCGGCACATTTCCAGAACGCAAGGACATTGCCCTAGGGCCACCTGGACCCATGTTGGGGCTTCCAGGTACTTGATTTCCAGGTCTTCCTGGGTATGCTCCACGTGGGCCCATTTGTGGCACCATGGGTCCATTCATTGGGGGTCTCGAGCCATTCATTGGGAGCCTAGGCCCATTCATCGGACCTTGATGTCTGTTCATGACATTTGAATTCAATGACATAGTTCGTGGTCCACCACTCGTGGGGCCGAGAGACATTGCTCGGCCATTAGGCACGGGCGCGGCATAGCTAGCATTACTGAAAGACATGGAACGCGGGTCAGCTGCCGGGTTTCCATTCATGGGACCACCTGCAAGTGACATGGCGCGTGCGCTACTTGCCAAATTCATTTTCTTAAGATGGTTCATTTGCTTTCTGTACTGGATGTTGCTCATGTTCTTTGCTGATCCCGGCATGTGGCCCGGCCCTAAGACAGGGATAATAGGCGCAGAAGAGTCCAGCATCATGGAATGGGTGACATTGTAGCGGCCGCCAGTGTCCCGCAAATGCGTAATATCTGAGAAGGATATCTCCCCTCCCGAGACATCGCCAATATCAGCGCCAAGATCGTCGTCAAAAGCGGCACCATTGTCTCGGCGACGAAAAAACTTCTGCATGCCCGACGCTGAAGAGGTCATTGACGCCTTTCTCGATGACGATGGGATTGCGCCCGTGTCTATAGGGGCGATCAAATCATGATTGGAATAGTTATTTCCCGGGCGGTACGTCCCCGGGACCGGATGCTGCGGTGGAAGGTTTGAGTTGGGAATTTGCATTCTTCCAGAGGCGGCAAAGCCGCTCAATGTGTCGACATTGGAGTCACTGGCAAGAAGCTGTTGCCTTAGCTGAGCTCTTTCGGACATGAAGAAGGCTGTGTGTGCAAGGTGGAAGAGCCGGAAAGATTAGATGCAACGCTGATGGGGCGAGTGTAGTTTTTTGCGGCACAAGAGAGCGGAGACACGCGAGAATCAGAAAGTAGGTGGAGGAGGCGGTCAAAAACAGAGACTGATGAGCATCCAGAGGTGTGCGGTTTCAACACCTGGACTGGAAATACCTGCAGATGGCTTATTATCTACGCACGTGACCCATTTAACTTCCCAGTACTTTCTTGGTAAGGAGGAACAGCAACAGGAAATGCACAAAACGGGTTTCCCATGAAGTCAGGATGCGGCGGTTATTTACACAAAGTACGACTTTTACAATTTTCACTTACATTTCTTGCTGGTATTGGCAGAAGCTGCTCAGCAGAAACCGGCGCAGGGTTGAATTATGCCGAAAATAGTATTCTGGTGGTGCAGACGGCCCGCAACAAAGCCAAAAGGCACTGGCTGCAGGTATTTACAGAACCCTTCGGTACGACAGACATGCGTTTGGCCTGCGTCCCTTCGGAATCGTACATGTCGCGCGTACGCCAAAACTTGACATGGTCCAATAATAATTGTCCTGGGCTGAACATTGGGGCAGTATTGCTGTCGTTGCTCGATCTTTTTTTTTTCTTTTCCACTCGCTCTTCTTCCGCTCTTGGCATTGTTCTCTCATTCTGTAGGTGCTGTTCCCCTGTGGTCAATCACAACACCGACTATGCGGTATCTTTTGCGGAAAAACTCGGCCCACTTGTCCACTTTTTCATTTTGCTTCTCTGTCAAGTCTCCTGTGTACCAGGTGTTTGCCATTGTCGAAGATGAGAGCGAAGAATTGTCTTCTTGCAACTTGAGCTTGTTGATTCCCAAGAGCCTGCTCACATCCTTGCCCACGAGCAGGTGGTATGTCTTGCCCACGCCATAGTTCTTTTCGTTGCTGGTGACATCGTACACATATCCACGTATGGCCACGTAGAGCTGATTTTTGGTCCTGCCGTTGTACTGTGCCAATTGCAGCCGCGTAAACGTCGGAAGCGTGAGAATCGACACTTGTGAGTTGTATACCTCGAACTCAGTAGGGGCTTTTGCTTCCGTCATACTCCTAAGATGGAGAGTATCCTGAAGTTCTTGACTGGCGCTCTTGTGCAGGAGACTGGTGAGTGGTAGGTCAGATATGGTGTGAATGAGAGCAATTCCAACCGGAGGAAATTTTAGAACTTTTAGGGTAGACATTCTCTTGACATGTTTACTTCTCATTATACTAGCTCTCTTTGAATTCTTTTATCTTCATCGTAGCTCCAAAGTATACTTGAGTACAATAGATCTATCGATGCACGTGACATCGTTAGCTCGCATACGAACTAATCTCATGAACAGTAATGCAAATTACACATAGTTAGCATGGTATGTCTTATGAAGCTATCTAAGCCGCTCTTTACTAACTTCCAGGCATCTGAAAGTGAAAAGTATCCTCGAAAAATCGAAAAGTTATTCACGCCGAAACTTCCCTTTCTTCACAAACAGCCCATCGACTATCCACCTCATGAGAGAGCGACACCTGTAATCACTCTGATCTCGGCTTGGAAGCTGGAGATTGAAAAATATTGCACCGAATTTAAGTCAAGCGATGAGGAACAGAAGCAACGACCCTTGACGAAGAAGCAACTTCGTGAGGCATCTTTGAAAAGACAAATGGACGATTGGGAAGATGCAGAAGCCTTCGCTAAGAACGATTTTCTCAAGGATCCGTACAAGACTGTTTTTGTGGCAAGGCTATATTACTCACTAACTGAGCTAGACTTGTCTAAGCATTTCACAAAGTATGGTACCATTGAAAGCATTAGAATAATACGAAACACTGAAACTGGCCAATCGCGAGGTTATGGCTTCATTGTTTTCGAACGTGAGGCGGACGCCAAAAATTGCATCCGTGAATTATCTCCTACGGGCTTATCTATTGATCCTCCTTCTAGTGAGTCGAAGCCGAGAAAGATTTTAGTCGATATGGAACGCGGTCGCTTGGTTCGTAATTGGCGACCCAGAAGATTAGGTGGTGGTCTTGGAGGTCGTCACTACACTTCTGCAAGTTCAATAGGCTCCTCAGATGCTTCTGCTGCATCGTCTGGAAGAAGATTAAATCTTTCAATGAATCCATACCATGGAAGTGCTTCTCAAGCTTCGACAAGATACAATAAAAGAGGCAACCTGGACTACTATCCTGGGCCTAACAAACGGCAAAACACTATGCATGACACATACAGATCCAACCCGGTCTCGACGCCTCCAGCATTTTCCTACTCCTCTTCCTCATACACCCCCACTCATTCTTATAATCCAGGAATATCGTCTGATCGCACTAATGATCCACAAGCACAATCAGTGAAGGATAAATACGCCAAGTACCAGAGCGTCAATCAGGGTTCGTCGTCTTACAAACCCACAAGTGGCTCTGGTCGTTCTATCAGATCTATACGCCAGCGGGAGTAAGTTAAATGCAAATGTATTATATATACAAGTAATGAATGGCAATGATATCGAGTTGAAAATGTTAATGCATAATTCAAATCTTCCGGTCATCCCGATTTTTTGTAGACTCTATCCACGCATCAAGAGTTGTGAAAAGCTCTCCGATCATTTGGCGAATGTCCACCTTGTCCTGTTCAAGTCTAGCTGCAATGTCCCCAAGCAATCCCTTCAATTTTGCTAGTGTCGCTTTCATAATGTCCAAGCGACCAAACAATGGAGAATTTTCGTTTGCTTCCAGAGCACGGATTTTTCTCGCAAGATTTTTTTCAATGTATTGACATTGTTTGTAAATGAAAGGACTAAGTGTAATTTCATCAAGTGGAAATTCAGCGATGTCATTGACACAAGCGTTAAAGTCATTCCTCGCTATATTGTTCCGAAGACTTAAATTCAACTTCACCATTTGGCGGCTGTCATTTAATTCTGCGTCATTCACTGTGGCCAAAAGCAGTGACGCCACATCATACAAATTTTCGTTGATCAATCTCCTAGCCAATAGAAGTTTATCACTCGTATTCAACGTTTCTTCGATCGATGAAACAAAGTTGCGCAATTGTTGTTTTGATGGTTGTGATAATAGAAGATGAAAAATTTCTAACCGAGTCTTATATTTCTCCATCCTGATAGCAGGTAGTAATTTCATCAAGGCCTCTCTATTTTGCTCATTCAGATTTTTGAGGGTATTTTCAATGATGAAATAATCAGGGCGAACTCCTCGGCGAACAATATCACGAATACCTTTGTCTAAACGAAACTGCACTTGTTCCTTGATTTGTCCTTTTTTGGAAAGCTTGTTTGGTTGGTAGGGAATGTATTTCCACTGTGATTGTCCATATTTCTTACTGAGTTCCACTCCTTGCCTTTGAATTGCAACAGGTGACAACGTCGAACTTAGCTTTGTTAATTTACAAGCATCCATGAGAGCTTGTTTACTTTCTAATGGAATGTTCAGTCCATGGATGTAAATGTAGAACCTCTCGGCAAAACCTTCAGCCTCATAAGGATAGGTATTAACAAAACAGTCAAAAATGTACTTCAAATAAACGGGGTCAAATCTGTTCGCTTTGGAAACAAATTTCAGTATGAATTTTAGTAATGGGAGAAACTTTCGTTCGGAAGCATAATATTGGACAATCGTGTCGTAGGCGAATTTTGTAAAAGGTAGTTCGTCTTTTTTCATTTCCCTCAACATAAGCTGAATCATGCTTAAGGAGGAGAACCTAGAAAGAAAGTGAAGGTAAGACTCATAGAAAATCTTCAATGCATACTTAGAATGGCTTATGGAGTTGCGAATTGCTAGCATGTTTTTCACGTCTTCTGCCGTAATTGTTTTTTTGTGGTTAAAATCTCTGTTCGAAATTTGGGCCTGGTTCTTCACCATTTGTACCAAAAAATTATTATTATAGCCATACTCTTCTGCGAGATTTTCCATCTTCGTGATTTCTGACTTTGTGCCGAATCTGTAGTGCTGTTTGAGTAAAAATGCAATGGTTTTAGGGTATGGAATTTCACAATTGCTTGAGTTTATCCAATAATGGAGAAGATCCAATGTCTTGTCAAAGAGAGCATCAACCTTCGTAAAACTGGTAATCGTGGATGCAAGGAAAGATTCATTGAGCGGCTTTTTCATATCAACAATGCTGTGAAATAATGTCAGGGAAAATTCCACATCGTAGTTATAAACAAAAGCATTGATGACATATGCCAATGTCTGAGAATCATATTCGGGTAATTTGAGATATGAATAGAGCAACAGTTGAAGCTGTGACAAATCATTCAAGTGGTAACAAAGCCAAATATAATTTTCAATGAATTTTCTATCGTTTCGACTCGTAGACTCATATAATTGACAAATGTTGTATAGGTCTTTAAGACATGGGTAGACCCTGCCATACAAGGACACATAGTGTAGATTATCTTTTCCAAAGAAATATGGTACCTCAACTGCAGATTGGTACAAGTATTCGTTTGTGGTATCCGACGGAAAGTCTTCTTGGACGCTGGAAACCATTTCATTGATAATTTCAGTGGACACCACAGTGCCCTGCTCTTTGTAGTTTCGGAGTAGCTCGTATAAAGCGCTGAAATCACCCTTTTTAAATAGCTTTACAACCTCCAATTCAGCAGGATGTATTTTTGGTTCCTCCAAGTTATTTTGGGTCCCACTAACCAAATTGGATTGGTACAAGACAGAAGGGCGCATATTTAGAAGTTTCAAGGATGCTGGTTTAGTTTGTGAGGTAGAATTTGTTGACTCTGTGAGCTGTTTAGCTAGCTTAGAACCGAGGTCTTTGGATGTCTCCTTGAGCCAAAAGGCACATGATGCATTTTGAAGCTGGATATTCGTGCAGAAGGCATGTCTTGTGGCTCTGAATGGGGGTCGTTTTCTTGAGGGCTGGTAGTGCCTGACGTTCCACATTAAAGTATGGAACGTGCGAACCAAGGGAAACTCTGGAGCCATGTTGGCTTATGCTTAACCAAATATTAATAGGAGGCGCCGCCAGAAGCCTTTGCACTAGCTTAATATCGCTTTGGAATATGCCTTAATGCGCGGTAGGTAGAAAAATTTAGTACACTGGGTAGAGCACCCGTACCTTTTGTGTCATGGCCATATCAGGCGATTTTAAATTTGTGGAAGAATATGTTAGCATTAATGAATACAAGTGACTACTCTATGAGATTAGAAGTTTTTTCTTTGTTTTTCGTTCTTGCGTACAACTATTGGCAGTAGGACCGGCCTTTCAACCCCGATAATGAACAGGGTCCCATCCGCCTACTCTCTCATAAGCTTCGGGGTGGGAAAGAGCTTCCACATCATCAGGCAGAATCTTAAAATCAAAAACCAGAATATTCTCGACTGCACGATTCTTGTTGGCCGTCTTGGGAAGTGGAATAAACCCTTCCTGTAAAGACCACCGAATTAATATCTGGGCAGGTGTCTTGTTGTATTTCTTGGCCATTTGTTTTAAAAATGGGTCATCCATCATCCTGCCACGTGCGAGAGGACAGTAAGCCTCCAACTCGATTCTGTTAACTCTACAAAAGTTAACGATTTCTGTTCTCATCATCCATGGATGCAATTCCACTTGGTTAACCACGGGTTTAATTTTCAACTCTTTCCAAAGTAAAAGCTCCTGCAAATGATGGACACCATAATTCGACACACCAATCGACTTAATTTTCCCTGCTTGCACAGCTTCCTCCATTGCCTTCCACGTGCCCAATCTGTCTTCCTTATTGGTTTGTGGAGAATGGATCAACATCAAGTCTATGTAACCTAAGCTCTTGACTCTGGCTAAGCAATCATCAATTGCAGCTTTTGCATTTTGGTATCCCTGATGGTCGTCAAATATTTTCGTCGTGTAGAAGATTTCTTCTCTTTTGAATTCTTTGTGGTCCTGAAGCCAACTGGTAATGCCATCTGCTACTTCCTTTTCATTTCCATACATTTCGGCGCAGTCCAAATGCCTGTAACCAACGTTTAAAGCATTGTACACCAACTCCAGCGCCAAGTTTTTAGGGGTTAGATAAACCCCCATTGCAATCAGTGGAATACTGATGCCATTGTTGAGTTTGATGTATTGTTTGACTGGAAAAGACATTGTGATTACAAAACAAACGGCAACATGACTCCGCACACTTCATTTATATTATTCTATTATGCAAGATTAAGTTTTGCTTACCTAAATTACCTTTACGTCAAGTCGGAGAAGTGGTTGCCGAATGAACCGACAATCTCCGACGGCGTTTAGCCTTTCAAAGTGCCAATTAGAGCCGGTGACAGAAACGGGTTACTGTAACTTCGGAGAAGTGACCTGCCGCACTAAAGTAACATGACCAAACGGTGGTCGAGTAAACAGGTAGTAAAACATCCAGATTTCCACCACAGTCCGTCCTATTTTGTTTCGAATCAAATATTGATAATGCTCTTTGTTCTTACTACTCACCTATTCAGTAACGCTTTAAAAGCTATGGTATGACTGTTTCAAGTTCAACTTTGCCTTGCTGTGCGCTTTTGCACTTACTGCATAACGCCACTCGTAAACTCGACAACGTAAGTGCATGTTATCACAGCACTCTTTCAACCAGACACGACACATTAAAGTACACTTTACTGACGGCTCCAACGGCCTAACATCTATGTCCGGAACCGGTACATCATCTCTCCTTAGATACAGAAGTCATGAGCCAAATATCCAGGCAACATGCTGTCTTAGCGGGGATGCAGCGACCGTGATTAACCAAAATGACGTAAATGGCAACATACATATGAGAAGCCATCGTAACTGCAACCATGGTAGATGAGAACGAAAAAAAACGGTGGCAATTCATCCGTTCGGCTAAGTCCGATACTCCGAGCAACCGAGATAATTATGATGGATACTCTTTTGGAACTGGCGACCTAAACGTAGGCTTGTATTTCGTTTCAGGCAGTTTCCATTTCGCTGCTCGTTTGTGCATCAAACTTCAATTCATTTACACTGTTTCCGTTTTGCTGCGAGTACTATTTGCACTATGTGAATAATCAGTTATCATACTCTCCTGCGCTAAAAATGTATGGGGAAATCCCATGCTTTATGCACACCATACCTCGGTTTCTCCACTCTCAAGCAACATATTCACCTCTACTCTTGTTCCCATGTCTACCTATAGGGAACTAGCTGGTAACTATGCTTTGTCGCTTACAAATGGAGCACAAGCAACGCCACAGGATTTGGATTATTTGATTCAAACCTTAAGAAATCCTGCTCCCAATGTCACAATACAACAAGTACTAGGATACATGTATAACTACACACCATTCATTAAGCATGAACACAATTTGAGACTTGTTTTCCTGAGTTTCTTGAACAATGCTGTCTGTTTCAGCCCTCCCATCCCGTCGTTCGAAGAGAATTACCTAATTGTTGAGGTTTTCAAGCTCATCAGCGAGAAGAAGTTGAAAGTGTCTCAGCCAGCTTTATCTATAAAAGATTTTTATTCCATAATACTTACAGAAGTGACAAACTTCGTTCATTTCAATCCGAATCAAAACAGCTGGAAAGCTTTGCCAATTTTGACGGGCCTCTGGCTTTCGAACGATTTGAGGAATGAACTCTATGTTAACAATGATCCCCTTCACTATAAACTATTCTTCAACGATTGGGATGCAAAAGCCGATGCTTTGTTCAAAACATGCTTTGTCCGAAGTATAGGTAGATCCACACCACCTGATTTATCCAATCTTGCTCTTCTATGTTTGTCTTTAAAATTTCATGCTCCGAAAGATGAATTATCCGATTACATTCGTTTGGTGCAACCAGGCTTACTCATTCGCCAGCTAATTCACCTCATGTTTTCTAAATCTGGGAGCCTTGCAACCTACACCAAATTCGCCGACATCGACCCTCTGTCTTCAAATGTGACAAATATTCTTCAAGATCATATCTTTAATAAACCGGTCTTAAAGCATTTGAATAAGGTTTCAACTTTGACAGGTGCTCTCTTTAAGTTATTACCCCCACTGACGGACCTGTTCATTCTCATAATGGATCTGATGTCAAGAATGTTAGATTTCAATCGGGCCATGAATCACTTCAGCGCTGCTTCGCCAATTTTAAATGTGAAATTCGGTACTTCACAAACACTGGGTTCATTCATAGATCATTATTGGATTCTTATGAAAAGCATTCTCTTTGCTGAAATGATCATTTATCGTGATGTGCTTTCTCGTTTTATCTCTCTAGGGAGAAGACCCTTATGGAGTGGAATACTTGATTCTTCGAACTTCAATGTTTTGGAACAAGAGTACCGGCAAGTGAGTATGGTTATTATCCACTCGCTTTATTATTTGCACTACATTTTGACAGCAGTCGGTCAAGGCGGATTTGATATTTACAATTTTGTTTACTACGTCAGTCTTGAAGTGTGCATTAAGAATAATAATGACGCAGAATTTGAAAACTTTTCGAAGTACTTGTTTGGAAATTATCAAGAGATCAATTTGCATTACGAATCTTTAAACAGAAATTATGTTGCACGATGCAAGGTAATGTTTGCTTTTGGTCTTTGGGAATATTATCTCCAAGAAAGTAAACATGTGCAGCCTGGATTTGTTCCCTTTATTCATCAACATGTATTCGATATTGTGAAAAATCCTCATCTAACCGATGTACAGTTGCTCGAAGCAGGTCATTCCGTGTTGTTGGTATACTTTTCGAAATCAGACATCAATCTCGTGAATGTGCATCATGTGCTAGAATATCTCGAGCTCATCGTCGACCAACATTCAAGAAGTCTTTCAGCAGCTCAACTTAGCATTGCGGTGGAGACATTGGGAAAGAAAACTTTGTCGAATCCTATTAATTACGGCAACGGTTTGTTCTCTAACTCTGCTGAAGAATTCATGAACTTTATGTATAGCAAATGTCTCAATACCCCTAGCGCTCAACCAATTCGAGCGACACGAGGGATATTAGTCTCTGCCCAGCCTATCACGAAAATCGACGCAGAATCTACGTTGTCGCAGCTTGGTGAAGACAATCATGTCGATGTTTTGAGTGAGAACAAGCATAAAAAGCCTAAGGATAATCATAATATCGATCTCATTCTGATGTCCAATGACACAAGTATGAGCAACTTTTCCGTTAGGTTTGCTCCTAATACATCTAGAGAAGCTATTATTCTAGCATTTCTCAATACAATTCCTTACTTTCCACTTGGCTCCTTTGAACATTGGCTAAATAAAATTATGGGTTTGATTCGGGCAAGCAATACGAATGAGCAGGCTTTTCTCATTGACAAGCTTTGGAAGGTCTTGAGCGAAAATTTGGACCTCAATAGATCGGACATTGCCTACAATTGGTGGTATCACAAACTTCATGCAGTTGAGCGCAACTTATGCCGTTCGATGCAAAGAATGAATCTTTAATGTATTTAACCAAATACTTATTTTTTTTCTATTCTCAGCTTCTATTCCAAATTTCTCATTTTCTGTAGGCTCGTAATTTCCTCCATCATGTTCGTGCATAGAGTGAAAAGTATCTTCTATTTTCGCACCGTGATGAGATGATCAATATCTCCACGAAACATGGCTAGAAAGAAGTCCGCTGCCAAGAAAGCGAGAGAAGAGGCACAAAAAGCCGCAGTTTTGGATGTGTCTCTGGAAGCACCACAACCATCAACGACGGTCCAAAAGGACAGTAAAAGAGTCGCATTTGAGGAAACTCCTATTGCAGAAGAAAACGAGTCTCTAACATCGTCTGAGGAAGAGGATGAATATGGAGAAATGTTGACAGAAAAAGTCGAAGCCCTGATTGAAAAGGTGATCAAAACATTGAAAACAGACCCAAAGAAGTTGTTAGATCCAAACATCAAGTTCTTCAATGATGACGATGAAGATAATACTAATGCGACTTCAGAGACCAAGGAAAAACCAATGTATTTGAAGGATTATCACAGAATGAACTTACTTTCTGGAGCCTTCAAGGAGGAAGACGACGCTAATGAGTTTGAGACAGTCGACGGTGAGAAACCTTTTGTCGTGACTGAGAGGGAAGAAAGAAACCAATTGCTTAATGATATCAAAAATGCATTCAACGATGATGGTGAAGAAGAGAGCGATAACAATGACGATGATTTCTTGAAGAAGAAAGAACATCCTACTAAAGTCGAAGATAAAGCTCCAGCTTTGCCTGATCCTTCTGATAACCCTGACGCCTTCTTGTCCGCATTCCTTGATAACCAAGCTTGGATACCTAAGAAGAATGATAAAGTAATCAACTTGGACCAGATGGACAATGAAGATGAACAAGACTTTGATGACGCTGTGGAAGATTTCGAAAAAGCTTACAACTTCAGATATGAGGACCCCAATTCTGCAGAAATTGTGTCATACGCTAGAAACCAAGCTACTTTGAGAAGAGGTAAGACGAACTCTCGTAAGAGAGCTAGGGAGAAGAAGCATGCAATCAAGGAGCAGGAGATCCATGAAAAGGAACAGGCAGTTCAAAAGAAGAAAACAGCTAAATTGAATAAGGTCATCGATCGTTTGAGCAAGATAAAAGAAGCTGTTGGAGATGATGTCAGTGACGAGGTCATTGAAAAAGTTTTTGGCGACTCTTTGCTAAATGATGACTTTGACGATACTGACTGGGATTCAAAGATGGCTGAAATTTTCAACGAGCAGTATTACTCTTCTGAAATTACTAAGCCTGAATGGGATGAAAATGATGAGATCATGGCTGACTTCCATGCTTCTAAAAAGGAGGAAGAAGAAGAGGATGCTGGTGTATCTGGTGGTGATGAAGTTGACGGAGGTGAGGAAGAAGCAGAAGAACCCGCCAAAAAGAAATCAAAGAAAGAGAAATTGAAAGAGAAAAAGTTGGCAAAAAAGGAGAAGAAGTCAATAAAGGAAAAAGCAGAGCAAATCGTTGAAGCTAACAAGATGAAGATCGTCGAAGAGGTTGAAGAAGAAAGAGGGCGCTTAGCTCAACAAGACCCTACTAAATTCAAGTACCGTGAAGTTTCTCCTGAGAGTTTTGGATTATCAACTAGAGAAATTCTTTTGGCTGATGATCAAGACTTGAACAAATTTATCAGCATCAAAAAGTTTGCACCTTACAGACCAAAGGAACTTGCATTAAAGGATAAGAGAAAACTTACCAAGAAAAAACAATTGCAGCAATGGAGAAGAGAAGTTTTTAAGAGCAAGGAAGGTCCCAGAAGACAGGCGAATGAAGGAGAAAACGAGGTTTGGATTCCAGCTGAAGAACAGGTGCTGAAGAAAAGTCTGAAGCATTCGACTAGAAGATAGAGTGATGTACCATATATGTATTACAATACAAAACATGCAAAATAGAAATGACAGATAATTAGACTCGCTCAGTCGTACCTATTGGGGAAACTAATGATGGATTTTGCGGCTTCTTTAGTCTTATACTTTAAGCCGAAGCTTTTAATCGATTTTGATGAATCCTCGACTTTCCTTTCACCCTTCTCGATGTGCCTCAACCAAAGCTTGACGGCAATAAATAACCCCACAACCATGAGGACCATAAAACCGACAATTCCAAAAAACCAACCGAGGTTGGACCCATCCTGCCCCGGGATTCGAACATTCATACCGAAAAGACCAGTTATGACGTTTAGAGGCAACAACAACGTACCGATTAATGTCACATTTCCCAAGATTTTTGTCACTGTCAAATTCGCATTGAACGACTCAACTTGCAATTGAGCCAAGTAATTAGCATGAGATCTGCTAAAAATCTTTTCATAAGCAGACAAATTCTGAAACATAGTCACCACGTGATCTTGAATATCACCCAAGTATAATGCAATATCAGCCCTTGGTTGAACCCTGTCACCGGAAGCAAACTGTGTAGCCAGCATAAGCCCAGGAGGAGCACCTGGGCCCGGGCCAAAGCTAATGCCGTGCGCAGAAGGTGGTGGTGATACATTTCCACTGTTGATGCCAGCGCTGAGTCCAGCTAAGTTCACTCTGGATGCAGCTGTAGGAGACTGTTGGTAGGCTTCATCTTGACATCTTTTCGCGAACATACGAATGACATCTGCTTTGTTTGAGAGAAGTCTCATCAATGTCATCACTTTTCTCCTAGACTCGCCAATTCTCCGTAACATGGAACTAAAGTTGATCAGTGTAGCAATCAATACAGAGTCATCGATGGCATCTGCTTCGTATTCGATAGCAGTAATGACAGGCGCGAAACTATCAGTGATGTCATCAATCATTGCATAACAAAGCCAATCAGCACTCACATCAACATACTCACGCAATTGTCTTACTCTCCGTCTGACATTCGCTGGGTGCAGAATTGGAGAGAAGTGGAAAGTCAAAACCCCTTCACGAAACACGACAATGTAAACATTGATAGGTTCCAAATAGTCTTCCGACTCTTTGTCTGGTTCAAAAGTATGAAAACAGACAAAGTAGTAACTTCTGAATAATTCCACCTTTTCGCGTGTTTCTTGCATTCTGATATCTTCTGCTGTCAAAGGGTGGATACCAAAAGCTTTTGCAAGTGTTTTCATCTCAGAGTCAGTTGGGCATGTAACGTCCAACCACCAAGTTCCTTCTCCATTTTTGAATAGTTCTCGCGCACTCAGGTCGGGCAGAATCAATGATGGAAGGTCTGGCGAGTGTATTGTTTCCTCGTTGTCTGAATGGAAAAAGGAAAAGCGTTCGGGCAACACCGTGTCGCCATCACTTATCCTCGTGCCTCCAAACTTAACGTTATCTGAAAAATCGTCATCAAACCTTTTATCATCAATAAATTCTTCTGACGAGTCAGAGGGAACAATTCCGGAACCATCCCTCTGAGAAGAGCCTTTCTTGTTTGAGCCTTTGTTCACATTCCACAAAATGTTCTTAGGCGTATATTTCATAGCATTCTTGTTGAGTTTCTCTCCAGGTGAGTACATGTTGCCTGTAGCTTTTGATTCGACTCTCATGGCGGTGTCTTGGGCAATCATCTTGCTCTGTGTTTTCATGATTAATTCATTTTCTCTTTCTTCATTGATGAAGTCATCTATTTCATCGAAATCAATCCCATTAATCCGCACATGTTCTCTCAACATAGGGAAACAAACATCTTCTTCTGTTTCTTGTGACGATCTCGAGGCATGAGAGTCAGCTTCCAGGTCGAAGGAAGACCGAGAAGGCCGCCGGTCCCGCTTCAGAAAATGTGCTCCAGCATTTGCTTCCAGTGCCGAAAACACGCTATCATTTGTTCTTGTTTCTGACATCGGTGGGAGGTCATTATTTCCGGCGGAGTTAGAACGGGATCCTTTTCTAAAACGAGGAAATTCGCTGGGTACTTTTGGACGGGAGTTCAGCCGCAGTTGCCTAGCTGACAGTTGAGACCTTTGAGTTTGTTCATGAGATAAAGGCTGCAAGAATTCATCGTCACTAGTATCATCGGGAGGTGGAAGAGTCTCCGGTTGATTTCTATGATCATTCAACTCTTCACCAACTTGGGGTTGAGGGGTATCGCCGGTACGGATACGGGCAGAAGAAACACAGCTTTCTAAGTCAGACATACTTCTTTAATTGTTTGTTATCAAGGGGCCTGGATAGATAATCAATAAGTGTAAGGGGCAGCACGTAATAGAATTATTAAAAAGGATTGCGTTTTGAAATTTCTCTTTGTTAAATGAACCGGCAAAGAGTGTCAGTAATGATTTATGGGAAAGCGACGAAGGATTTTGCCATAGCTGAAAATAAAAAGAAAAGAGGTGGAAAAGTATCAGTCTCAACGTTTTTACATATGTGAAAGAGCTTTTCTACAACAGAAATTCGAAAAAAAAAAATGAGCCTTTTGTGTCTGCGATGCAGCTGGTTCTTAGATACAGGCTTTTCTACAGAACCTAACAAGATGAGCGATTTACAATCAATTCAATTACTCTTCTATCAAACATCCCATTTTATCTGCGTTTTGTAGCAGCAATATATGCTCACAATGAGTCTCCTAAGTATGTTTTATTTTATAGTCGAATTACGTAGAAAACGAAAGAAAAATAGGGAGATCCTAATGTGCATGATCAAGAGAACGTGTAGGCATCTAACGATTTGACACCGACTTTTATTAACGCAAAGCGCGACAGAATTCGGTTTTTCTCCTGTATAAAAATAGTGTAAAACCATGACCGTATGCAGCCTGGAACTACGTTACATCTCGCTTTCTTCTAACAAGTTGGAATCAAAACGAAGTGGTTAGACCTCATAATCATCTAAACTTTGCTCAACGAATGTCGTTCTAAGCGTGTTAAAATCATACCTCATAAGATCATCAATCAGCGCAAGTGGTTTAGTGGTAAAATCCAACGTTGCCATCGTTGGGCCCCCGGTTCGATTCCGGGCTTGCGCATTTTTTTACTCTATGTTGTAAGTTTGCTATTAATCTGTCGATGGTTGAAGACGGTGTTAACTGTATCTTCTTTTGTAGTGATATCTCCATTCAACACAAATTAACCTAATATAGTCCCAGTTAATTTATGTACAGGCTCAGCTCAGAGTAGCACATGCGCCAAATGTACGAATTTAGAACGGTAATGGCTCCACTAGTCATGAAAAGGGCTTTTTTTCGTAAAAACCCTCGTACTTCTCTATTTTGCTATTATATTTGCCAATATTACATGGGCGCATGGTTTTATTATCAACGTTATGTAGAAGGAGAGCTTCGACAAATATTTGCCCAATTAATTTATACAAACAGGGACCCTAGATATTCAGCAAGCTAATCCATGATCGACGACGCTGCGATTCGTTTCAATGAATTCAATCACGAACATAAGCGGGATCCTCTCTTCTGTTCCGGTATTGGGGAACTAATAGAACTTAGAATACAAGGTATGAGTTTGGCCTGCGTTTATGTCCAGTAACTCAATGTGACAAAATATTTCTCTTAAACTTTCCCATTAACATTTCATATTTGTTAAAAAAACCTCGGCGATCTCTGTTTCTGTAGAACGGATCCATAAATTTTGGCCGGTGCGATCAGTGCAAGATATGTAGCTAGGCTGAAAATTAGTGGGGGCATACATATTGACCAAGGCCATTTTAACACGCTTTTCTTTTCTGATATTGTATAGTATATGCTTATGCTGCAAATTAGTATATCTGCCCAAACAAAGACATTGTGCAATTGGTG